TCCTGCCTGTAAAGGAATCAGGAAAGTGGTTTAAGTTTTCCATGGATTTGACTGCATTCCAGCCCAGGGAACCCCACAAAGAGAGGAGCCAGAGCAGCAGAGGCATGTCAGAGGGTAGACGAGGAAGAAAGATCTCAGCGTGGAGCCTGTCAGCTGCCAACTGTGTGCGCATGTGAGTGAACTTGTGAACACAAGCCCAACTTGGCTGATCTATAAAGATCGCGATTTTACAACATGCTCCTGGAACATGTTACAGAAATCAGAAAATGACTTTGATTTAAAATTAGGCTTTCACGAAGGTTTTAGAAAACATTTTCAATACTATCTACCAGACAAAAACTTGGGGTAGCTTCTTGGAGACAGTGCCCTCCACACCCAGGCTTTGTGCTTCTGAACATTGCCTCCGAAAGGAATCATTATGTTGAAACAATTGGAGGAGCTTGGAGCTGTAGCTCAACTTTACTTGTGATTTAAAACATGCCCTTGGAAACCAAGCTAGCTTCCAGGTGGGAAGCAAGTTCCAGCAAATGGGAACAGCAGTTAGGAAAGCTTTCAGACAGACAATCCATGTAAGAGCCAGACTTCAAAAAAACTCTTCAGGGTTAGGGAGATGGCTCAGTGAGTAAAGTGCTTTCTGCACAAGAATAAGCAACTGAAGGCAGATCTTCAGCACCCACATTAAAAAAAATAGCTGGGCATGGTGGGTAATGTGTCTGGAACCCCAGTGCTAGGGGTACACAGGGGCGGAGGCAGGAGGATCCCTGGGGCTCACTGGCAGACAGCCTAGCTAAACTGATGAGAACCAGGTTCAGTGAGAGGTCTTTTCTCAAAAACCGAGGCCCAGAGCTATTGAGAGGAACACTGGATGTTAACCTCTGACCTCCACACGGGTGTGCACATATGTGCACGTGCACCTGAATACACATGTGTAAACACATGAATGTGTACACACACACACACGTACACACACACACACACACACACACACACACATTTCTACCAGTAAGCTATTTACCCAACAAAAGACAAGAAGATCTTTGAAAGAAACCCACACCTTCCACATAAAGACGGAGATAAAAGAGTTCAGCCACTCAAATTTGTTGTCATTAAAAATGCCTTTTGAATCGCTAAATTTTGTCTGCTTGGTTGTCTAGCAACCAAGTGCCGAACAGAAACTCCACCCAAACACAGTGAAGCAACACATTCAGTATTCAGTTCATCAGGCTGTGTGTGTGTGTGTGTGTGTGTATGTGTGTAGTATCGTTAATGTCTAAGATAGAAACTTGCTTGCATACAAAGCAGAGACAGTCTTGATTGTAGATGGTAGAAAAGGATGTGGGGAATAAGGAAAAAGCAACAAGAAAATGTGCAATGCGAGATGAGGGTATAGTTTCCACACACTGGGCTAAAGCACGGTTTACACTCTTAAGCAATAAAAACAAACCATTAAGCGAGGCCCAGCACCGTCAGGAAGTGTAAAACAGTTCTTGAAGCTTTGCAGTCACTATACAAACGCTTTTCATAAACTCCGTTTCCTGATCTTCATTAAATGTTAACATCAAGTTGCCATGGGGCAATTAGCTTGCCTCCTGAAATCAATAAAAAATCAACAATTTGGAAATAGTTGTACAGTAAAATAGTTCAATAATTATTCTCTCATAGTGTTGTGGCCAAGCGGTTCCAGGGTAAATTCGGTCCAGATGAGTTCCTGCCCCTTATGAGGAGAGCTGTGAGCAGATCGGGGCTTTGCTGAGAGACCTCCTCATCAGAATGGACTGCAGCAGTAATGGACTCCCAGCAATGCCCTGGCGAGGGGCCCAGCACACAGGCAAACACAAGCTTTTAAGTGCTGTTAAAGTCAGCGTCTGGTGTAGCACCTCAGAGGGACTTGGTTCAGAGTTTAGAGACCTAAACAAAATGATAAACCCATGGGGGTTGGGGAAGGGGGATTGCTGCTCTTGTCTCAGCATTCAGACTCTAGACAGAAACAAATGAAAACTTCCTCAGAGACATGCATGCATGTGCGTGCATGCCTGTGTGTGTGTGTGTGTGTGTGTGTGTGTGTGTACATGTGTGTGCATGCTACCATATGCATGTGTATGCAAATATGTGTGCTTGGTGCTTGTATGTGTGTATGTGCACGTGTGTGCACCCACACTTGTGTGTGTGTGTGCATGATTTACACAAGACTGGTTGAGATTAAGAATGTATTCATCCTGACATTTCTTCAACAAATACTAAAATAAGAGTCTTCTGGGAGCTGAGTAAGGTGCTTCCCAAGCTTCCCTCAATCCCCAAAGGGCATTCTGCTAACAAATGATATTCATGTCAACCAAAAACAGGAAGTTATTTCTGTGCTGACCCTCTTTGCAGAGGGAAACCCATTCCTTTTCTTTCTTGTTTTTTTTTCTAGTATAAACCCATTCATATAAGCATTTTATCCCAAACCAACTGCAGAAAATTCCAACTTCCATTAGATCAGACCTCAAAAACACGAGCTTTGGAGTCTTATGCCACCCTTTAGGCTCAATGAAGTTATATAGTGTACTGTCTTATAACTTAGAAAAAAAAAAGAGTCAAGCATCATTTTAGTATAAACAAATGCTTCAACCGTATGACATCTCCCCGCTGCCTTCAAAGAGAAACCTTTAACTCAGATGCTTGGCGCTAACATCACACAGGATCAGCTCAGCACCCTGACTTAAGTGTTAAAGGTTTGGAAAGTACAGTTTTAAGGACTTGCACCTGCTCCCCCATGCATATAGATGTACTGACACGTATTTGACTAAACTGACTGCAGCATGCCCAAGCAAGCAAGAGGAGCAGATTTTACAAGATAAGCAACCAAGTGTTTTCATGTCTAAGAGTGGCTAGAACACAGCATTGTAAGTCATCTTGTTGGGGAAAAGAATGTCTTTGAAAAAAAATAATCTGCAGGGCACTGTGTTCAGATGCCATGCCACACAGCTTTGTGTTTTGTTTCTTTTCATTTACACGCGGCTTTTACACACGAAGGGGCTGTATTTGAGCCCGCTTCTGTAGCGATGATTGAAAGAACAGTCCACACAACCTTGCTACTCTAACTGCAGTCCTCTGGCACAGGGAGTCAGGGTGTCACCTGGTAGCTCATTAGAAATTCAGGACCTCGGGCCCCACCCAGACCACTGGGACAGGAATCATAAGGTAGCATGACTCCACCACATGGGCTGTACACACATCAAGCATTTTGCTTTCCTTGAGGCATTACTGATGACTGAGGTGCACACTAAAGTCTAAGAAGTTTTATTTAGAACGTTGGCCCTTCAAGTTAGTTAGAAGTTCACTTTGAAGTTTGTAGGGCAGGGAGCTCGTGAGAAAATTCTGCCCTAGAGGATGTCATAAGACTCTAAGATATGATGGCGAGGTGAAGGAGAAGAGGAAATGCAATTTACCCAAGTAGATGTGTGTGCTCTGCCCCCAATCCCACCCTACCTGTCCCTTCCCCTCCAAGACATAAAACAGAAAAGGAAGAATGCAGGCAGTTCTGACTCAGGTTGCCCATATATGCTGATCTATACGTCCCTCCTCCCACACATGCTATAGCCATTCCTTACTGCAAAGCTCTGTTCTTTTGGCCTTTCAATCCCAAAGTAGGGAGGGGCTCAGCATGTTACCACCCAATGAATCAGTATCCTAACAGCAAGGCAAGTGAATAGAAATTTGCTAAGTGATTTGACTCACTTTTGATTGTACAGATGAATTTTCTCCCTCCTCAAAAAATAGAGGGAACACCTGAACCACTTAGGGTATATACCAATGGCATAGCTCCATTTATTGTGACGTCTCTGAACCTAAATGGAAATCAGAAGTGCTGCCATCTACATATGCAACATATAATCTTCACATATATATATATGCATAAAATAGAACATTTACACACTATATGCATATATGTATATACATGTATATCACATGGGAGCTGCTGTTCTACAAGTAATTTTAGCCAAGAAAATCAAAACCAATGAGGCAGAAAACATGTAGTGGATGGAATCCTTGTAGAATAACTGCACTCCTATCTGGAGGACTTACAGATGCAAATATGTGGTTCATTCTTTTTTAAGATGTAAAGACTGTAGTTTGCTACCAGTGCCCACAGCAAGCAAGAGACCGTAGAGAATGCCTGAAGGACAAGGAGGACAAGGCTCTCCATCCTTGTGTCTAATGATTTCTACTTGAGCCAAAGCAACTGGCGAAAGGGATAAAGAACACTTTAAAAGTTAACCAGGGTATTCATTTAAAACAAGATCTTCAGAACCTCAAGCTTTCCAAACGTTAAGTGTGCTTCGAGGTCGTCGCATGAAGATCCTTGGGAACAATGTAATTATAACAGTCTGTCCCATCATGAGCACACTGCTTTCCAAGTCCGTTCTAAGGTTCGAGTCGGGAAAGGAGGTGAGAACTGGGCTTCACCCATGATGGAGGATTACGGGACACACACTCTGGAAACTGACCTGAAACACTGCCGGGACCTAGCACTGTGGATTCCCCAATCTGCAAACATAGCCACAAAGCCCTGCCTAGGTTTTGCTTCCAACCTGAGCACAGAAGCTCTGCCATTGCTGAAGGCTCACTCTCCAGAGCCTCATCTGACTTCATTCCATTTGGGCATCTGGCCAATTGGCAGATGTGCTGCAGAGCTGATCACAGACACTCTCTAATTTTTTTGGCACTGTGGCCTCTGTTGAATGGGATATTATCTCTGGAACTTTACCTTGGGTTCTGTAAGCTTTGCTTTGATTTAGGCATCAGCTTTCTGTCACTTGTCCCCCCCACCCCCTCAACTGCCACCACCCCAGTTTATGAAAACTATTAACTCATTGGTAAGTCCTTTGGTCCAAATGGGGTTTGCTTGGAATTCGCCAACCATTTAAGTCGTGTCTCCCCAACTCCCAACCTCAACATCATTCGCCTCAGAAATGAAAATGCAAACACAGGTAGACACTGTAAATACAAACACACCATTTGCTCTCACGGATTAGGTTTTATAGGATGAAATGCCAGAATTTTGATATTTATTATCTGAAACGGGTTTAACATTTGGAGAAATATGTTCAAACACATATCCCTGGAAAGAAAAGCAAGCTGATAGGTCAGAGAACAGGGTGTAGGCAGGAAACACATGCTCAATTTTGCTGCGTGTCAGGCAAATGTAGAAAATTGGGTGCTTTGGAGAAGAAAGAGCTTGCTGATAGGGTAAACACAAAATACAAGTCAATTTCCACTTCTTAATGAGGGCCATAAGATAATCAATTGTACATATATATGACTACAATGTTAATAAAGAAGAAATATTATAATTTATTTAGTACTTTGGCCAGATCAGCCCCCCTGGAAGGGATAGGTTTAAGAAAGAACAAGATGCCATTATCACTTCCTGACATGGTCACAGTTTTCCTAATTATTTTCCCTGGTCCTGCTTTGTTCATTCTGCAGGGAGGTCGGCGAGAGCTTTTCTGTCAGATCAGTAATGTCTGGTTCTTATCCAAATATTCCCCCTAATAAGAATGAAAGTTCTCACGGACTGGACAACCACTCTGCAACATTCCTGAGAATTGAATAATATAATAATCTTGAAAGTCAGCAGAGTGGATTATCCATTTTTTTTTTTTGGACTTGAACTTGTGAACTTTAACAGTAGTGCTGCAGACAACAGACAGCAAATGTGCAAGCACTTTGCTCAGTAACCTTCCATGTAGACTTTGCATCTTAAATACACACAACTGAAAAACAACTACAATTATTTTTGAAAATTATATACAAACCCGATATTTCTTCTGATTACATATAAATACAAATTAACTATTTTTTTCCTAAAAAGTGGTTATAATAGTAAATAAATACAAAATAACTCTGACCATTATACTTCATGTGCTGGAGTTGAACCCATATAAAATGTACAACTAAATACATTTTAAATCTTTAAGGAATAATTCTCTGATTAAAATATTTGTTTTCCCAACTTCTTTTCGTAGATATAAATATATTTTCAAAATAGCTGTGTTTCTTTTTCCATTCCATTCCATAAATAAAGTCTTCATTGGGAAATATTAAAGTGTCAGCTGGTTTTTTGGGGGGACAGGGGGAGTAGGGTGTTTTCTTTTTCTAAAATATATATATATATATATATTTATTTATTTATCCTTACTGTGCTAACGACACCCGCAACCCTCCACAACCATGTCCTGATAATTTTTTAACACAACCTTTTCATTTTCATCTAGGTATAACATGGAGATTGCGCTGAGCTCAGTGGGGACACAGCACGCCTTAGGGATTTTGGAATTCACAGAGTTCACCAGAGTCTGCACTATGGCATGGTTAGTGGAGTTCAGGTGATCGGCCAGGGGAAAAGGACATTCCCCATGGCAATAAAAGGCATGATAGCCCGGAGGGGCCACGATCCAGTCATTCCATCCCACATCACTGAAGTCCACATACAAAGGGTGTCTCTTGCAGCTGGACTTGAGGCGCTTCCGCTGTTTGTGTTTGGCTTGACGCTTTTCTCGTTTGTGGAGTGGATGTCCTTTTCCATCATGGCCAAAAGTCACTAGCAGTGGCCTTATCTGTGACCAGCTGTGTTCATCTTGGTGCAAAGACCTGCTAATCCTCACATGTCTCTTGGAGACACCTGGCTTCTCCTCCAAGTGGGCCACTTCCACCACAAACCCATGGTTGGTGTGTCCCTGTGCAGTCCACCGCATCACAGCTGGGGTGACATCGAAGCTCTCCCACTGACTTGTGTTCTGATTCACTAGCCTGGTGTCCAACAGTCTGGTCACAGGAAATTTCAAGCTGGCTGTTGCAGGCTTTATAATTTCATAAATATTAATTCGGTGCTGGAAACTACTGTTTCCCAAAGCTTCCTGCATCTGTTCCCGAAAAATCTGGAGTTCTGCAGATGTGAGAAACTCATCAGTGGGGACAGAACTTAAATTGAAGAAGAAGCGTCGGGACGTTTTCCCACTCATTTCTGGAAGCTCTTCCATGGCTTCTAGTTTGATCAACATGGAGAGAAAAAGGAAAAGCATTTGGTTAGAGAGCCAATGTGGTAACTTAATTCCTTATGAGCATTTAAAACTTCAATGCATGGTTTAAGTTAAACTACATAAAAATTTGCAGCCAGAAATTAAAAATGTCAGGCCTAGAGATACAGTGTCTGCCGCCCTGTCCATGGCCCTGGATTTACTGCTTAATACTATAAAAAAAAAATTAAAGTCTCTTTTCTCTTTTCTATATGACCACATTAACTTTGTAATTGCTATGCTTTTAATCCAATATATGAACATAGCTTGTAGGTAGCTATAATAATGGAGGAAATAGTGAAACAGTTCTTTGGAATTCACAGACTTTAAGGGGGAAAAAGTCAGCACTGTAGTTAGTAGAGGGCTAATGACTGAGGAGTTGAGGAAATTACTGCATTTCTTAACTAAGAAAACGAGCTTTAATGTCAATTCCTTAAACGGCATTTGCAAACATTACTCTACAATTTAGATGATTTACAAATCTCAATATCCAGATTTCAGCCCCTTAATTAAAGACTCTGAAATTCAACATCAATGATGACATTTTGCAAAGCACACCCTACCATTTTGCTCAGAACCCTAAAGACAAAGGCATTCACCGGGATATAGTTCTTCAGAAAGGTATGGGGTGGCACTAGGTCGCTGTAGCAATTAACAATAAAGAACTTCAGGGGAAATCACTTCCTACTTCCTGTTCTCTCTTATCCATCTCATCCTCACTCAAAATAACCTCTGTGTTGATACAGCAGTTCTTAGACTTCAGCCTGCACATCAGTTGGTCTGGGAAGAGGCCTGTGGTCCTACATTTCCACTAAGCTCTTAGGCAAGGGATGCTGAGTACTTATGGACCACACAGTGTCAAGGTTTAAAAGGATGTTTCACATATTTAAGAGTATGTTGATGAAGGAGTAGACTTGTAAAGCACTTTTTATACAAGAAGCCTTAGTTTTGGCCAACACATAAGGATTCAGGCTACGATAAGCTAGAGCTAGCCAGGGACTTAAAGGGGAGTCTTCTAAAGCTCTTCTATTTGGACATGAAGACTGCCGGGGCAAGCTGATTCATTCATAGTCCTCTTGCATCTGCTTGCCAAAAGGTTCTTGGCGATAATTTTGGGGAGTCATTTATGTTTTGAACTCCACTATCAGCTAATGGTACTTTAGGGCAGGGACATTCCTAGAAAGTATGAAGGACTGTATTTAGCTTCTTTTATAAAAAGCCTTTCGTTGTCATTCTGGTGTCCCTTAATGTTTCTGCCTAAGGCACTTCCTCAACAGAAAATATAAAACAGTAGCAACATCCCCTAGACCCTAATCACAGCAAATCACACTGGCATCTCCTGACTTTGGCACAGTGATGTGCACATTATTTCCTGTACAGACAGACTATAAAGGTCAATTACCCAGGGCCTTCCACAAATTGCTACAACAGTCAACAACAGGGCTCAAAAAAATCACAATAGCAACACAATCCTGGAATCCCAATCCACAAACAAACCAAGGAAAATTAACAATCATAAGCACACACACATGCATACAGACACACACAAGATAAGAGGAAAAAAGGGAAGAGGCCATTCCTACAATAAATAATGGAGAAAGGTCATTGAAGTAAGAAAATAATATTTTTCCAAGAAATAAAGCCAAGTTTTGGCCATATGTAATTGTCATCTTTCAACTGGAAACATAGAAACAGTCAGTTTCTGTGGCCTATCACTCTGGAGGTCAGAAGTATTCTCAAGGCAGAATAAGTGGCCTTCACAGAAGAGAACAATATACTTCCTAAGACCAATGACAAAGGAAAGACCCATCTCTAGCCTTCCAGTAGCATTTCCACAAGCCTAAGCCTTGGAAGAGCTTACCCCATCCTTTATACCAAGATATCAAACATGACTGTTCATTGAAATTATACAGAGAAGTCAAGAATTTACAGAAGACCTCAACATAGGAAGCCAATTCCCCAGTGTCAGGACACACTACACCTTTTCTACTTCAAGGGACAAGTTTCAACCTCTTCTTGAGGGTGGGAAATTGAAAATCTCTTTTAAATAAAGAAAATTATAGGAAAAGACCTCTACAAATTATCACAGCAAGCCTGGGGTTCTGAAAATACAGAGTAGGTAATGTACACTTTTTGGAGGCCGGAATAGCTGTTAATTCTCTGTAAATATCCCTTGTTGAATCAGCTGAACTTGCTAAGTGATTTCAGGATTCTGACCTGTCTCCAACCTGAGTATCAGTCTCCTAACTCTTAACAAACTGCAGGAAAGGGAAGTGGGGCAGCCATGTCATTCTAGTCTCTTCTAGAAACAAAGCCTGGATTTATTGTTCTACACTATGTTGATTATTTCTCTACCTCAAAATAACCCAAAAGATATGGCCAGGGCCACCTCCTAGAAAAAGGAATAATATGAAATAAAAATGTCACCACAAAACATTAGCTTCTATGTATGTTTGCTTGCTTGCTCTTCTTCATCTCCTCCTCCTCCTCCTCCTTCTTCTTCTTCTTCTTCTTCCTTTTCCCCTCCTCCTCCTCTTCCTCCTCCTCCTCCTCCTTCTTCTTCTTTCTCCCCCCACTTCCTTTCTGCCAAATATGGTGCCATTACCTTTCTATGAACTCTCTTACAAGAAGCACATTAAGAGGGAACCATGATTTTCTCATTTTGTGGATGAAACAGTTGAGAATTCAGAGAAGTTATGTGACTTCTCTTAGGTCACAGAACTGTTAACTTGTGTGTACTGTAATGCTCAAGTTCTAGCCATTAGAAGGTATTATCTAATGTAGGAGAGAAATAAAATCCCAAGCAACCATCCAAATTACTAGGAATTGGTACCTGATACCAACAGAATGAGTTCTGCCCTGAAGATCACAACGTATTGCCTAGTACCCTTTAGATGCAGACAGAGCTAAATGAACAGAAATTGAAGGGACACAGCCAAATAGGACACCAGACCTTGTTTAGATTCTGCTCTCTGTGGCTACTTGTTTGCCCTAAAGTAGAGTGAGTTTCATTTCAAAAGTTATCATTAAGCTTGGAGGATTTTGCAACACTTTTTGGACAGAAAACATTCCTCCATCCAAACAACAACAAGCCTAAGGCTATTCCAGATCAGCAGCTGCATCTCACGCTGCAACAAGATTCAAGGAGCTTTGGGTCACACTGTGATTTTCTACAGGATAAAGTAAATGACATGCCAAAGAGGAAGAAAGAAAAAGTTTAAACACACAGAATTAAGGTTTAATTTTTAAGACAACAAAGGAAGTGGCAGGGAAGGAAAGCAGGGTCTGGTAGTCACCACTAACCTGATTAGGTCCTTGTTCTGTTGAGCATAGGTCCTACAGGGGGACCTGCAGGCCCAGGAGGGATTCTCTAATGACCAAGTGAAATGCCCCAAGGCACAGGTAGAGAGGACAAAAGCAGTTTGGAGAGGAGTTAAGAGAGATTCAAAGGCTCCCCTGACAAACAAGAGACACTGAGAACATCAGTAGCAAGGAACTTCTGCAAACTGAGCAACCCTTCCCCTCCCCCAGGGTCTTTGTAATCACACTGCAACAGCCAGAAGTAGACAGGAGCATTCCTGGATGTCTGCATCCAACCCCATGCTGGAATTTTGGATGGACCATGCTTTCTTCATCACAAGACAGAGTTGTACCCTGAAATGCCTTAACACGTGGCTCTTTTCTGGGCAGTTGCACTTCTGCCAACAGGATCTCTCCCTCTTTGAAAACTTTAGTCATAGGGCCACATAGTTTGTTTATTCCATAAAGAAAAAGAAAGACTGTGTTCTCCATAATCAGAAGAGCAAGCATGAGATCCTTCTGTATATGATCTGCCAGTCACTAAAGGAGAAGTCTCTGTAGGGTCAATAGAGTCAAGCACTGTCAAGCTGTTTTCCAGTGGCAGCCAGTTGGAGAAGGTCTTCAGTGACCTTAGAGTGGGGTTGGAGGGTGGGGATTCAGCAAAGCCTAGGCTATCCTGGATAAAATCTATGGTAAAATGGTCTTCATGTTCAACAGGAGATTTTGTCTGGAAGAATCTGCCACCAGCTGAAAGACTACCAAGGTATGCTCTGTCTTGTCGTGCTCACTAAACCACCTTCTAGCACTAAGGAAGAAATCTATCAAGTAACATATGGCTTATCAAGGTTTCCTAGTGGCACAAGGATGTTTCGAAAAACCAAACTCTAGGTTACTCAACGATGTGAACAGTCTTCCCAAATGCCATGTGTTCCATGATCAAAAAGAAATGATTTTCCTGAAATTTACGGTAAAAATGACATCTCACTGCACCAAGATATAAAGTCAGTGCAAGTTTGTTTTAAGCAAGTCGATAACTTCTATACAGTTTTACACCAGAAAAAAAATCACTTTTAAAAGTACAATTTTTTTCTTATGAACTGAAGCTCACTAAGTTTGAAAATAAGACACACAGACAGTGCTTTGCCTGTGTTTTTAATCAAGCCACTTTGAAAGGAAGAGTGAGAATATGTAGAGTTTATTGCTGAACCTTTCATTCAGTTTGACTTTTGAGCTTTAATTGACTTAAATGATTCTTTTAGTTTAGTTAAGATAAAGATAAAATACCTCCATTTTTACAGGTAAAGAACAATTTTCACCTTAGAAAAGACTAATAAACAAATAAAAATAAATAAATGGTTCTCCTGCTACATCTCCAGAGTGAGAAAAACAGCTGTGCTGGTCAGTGGTCTGTTTGTTTGTTTGTTTGTCTGTTTTGATCTACAAAAACTTTTCAGTGAATATTAACCCAGAGAGATTACCTTAGCCCAGAATCACCTGAGGTGGGGTGAACACACCTGAACCTCCCTGCTTTCCATGGGCATACCCTGAGGAGCAGAATGTGGTCTTACTATCTTTCAATATTGAACTTTGCTCCCAGAAAACCCTAGGCACCCGTTTGAAAGGGATGGGTTTCCAATGCCCTTCATAACCATTGGCCACCTCAAGGAAGATACACCTCTTGCTATGTCACCTGCCTGTGGGACTTTTTCCTATTATCAACCAGACTTCTCAAAGTCTGAGTCATCCCTTATTGGGGATGGGGGTTGGGCTACCATTTCAGAGCATAGATTTCTACTTAAAAGTTATCCTCTCAGCAAAGCAAAGCGAAACTTTAAAAAGGGAACTTCTCTCCTAGCTCCCCACTGTTCTATAAATTGCAGCTCACTGACAGACAACTCTGAATTCTCCTAGAACTTGAAGGAACTGATATTCTATTGAGAATGCAGTAAGCCAAAAGCACATTTAAAGCGACACACACAGACTTCAACTGGGGCATGATTTTGTTTTTTACTAACTGCTCTAAGAACATCAGTACAAGAGACTTCACTAGACCTCTACAGCCTTTCCAGCCCCTAAATTTCTTTCTGCTGAAATAAACAACATTATTGTACCTTGGGAAATCATATTCATATCATATTTTTAAAAATCCCATTGATTGCCTAAGAAGGTAGCAGGCAGTGGGAGGAAAAGCTTTTATCTGAAGGCTTGCCCTGTCTCCACTTGGAGACTTAAGATTTAAAAGCACAAGAACCGAAGGTCATTGTGGAAACAATATGATGGGATTGTGGAATTGATCTCCCACGGGGATTAGATAGGGATTCAAAAATCTTTCATACTAGGCCCAGATGAATAGTAAAGTTGAATGCTTTGGGGCCCTGGATTTGATTTGTTAATACTATCTCTGAACTTGCTGCCCTTGACTCTGCCTAACTTAAAACTCCAGCGTGAACACAGAAGGAGCCCCAACTCTCTGCCTTCTGTGGCATTCTCGCACTCTGAGCTGACTAGGGGCTAGCCAGTCTCTCACCCTCTTCCCCATCACTCCGATTTCCCTCCAGTTCTAGGGGGAGGAGTCTGTCTTCTGGCTACCTGCCAGGAAAGGGTGCGGACTCACCAGTGGGGAATCCCTGGCTCAGGGCCACGGAGGGGACGGTACAGAAGCCGAAGGGCCGTCCACTGTGCTAGCGGAGGCCCAGGCTGCCCGCTGAGTCTCCGCCCGCAGTCCCCGCCCCGCCGCCCGCCGCCCGCTCACCTTCGTGATGGAAGCTGCGCACGGTGTTGGCGCGGCTGGCTGCCCTCTCCAGCCGGTGGTCTGGGGCGGGCGCTCCTGGCTGGCCCGAGTGCCGGCGGTACAGGTCTAGCATATAGGGGGGCACCACGACGTCCTTGCTGGGGGTGGGTCTCTGCTTCAGGCCAAACATGCTGAGCAGCCTCAACTCAAACTCGCTGAGGACGTCGTCCGAAGGCCGGGACAGGGGGCGGCCGGATGCCGCGGCGAACTTCTTGCGGCCCAGCTCCGGAATGAGGCCGGCCGCGCCGCCCAGGAGGACCTGGGGAAGCAGCAACACTAGAAGACAGCGGGTCCCGGCCACCATGGTCGACCTGCGGACAGGGCCGACGTGAGTCACCCACGTTCCCCGCCCAGTCCTCCGCCCGCCCCCGCGGCCCCGGCTCCCATAGGGCTCGCTGGCCTTCTCCATACCCTCCTGGCATGTCATGCTCGCCGGCTACAGCCTGGATGATCAAGAGGATAGAGGACCCCCGAGGCCCAGCCAGACTTCTCACATGGGGTTTGGTCTTAACTCCCAGTAAAAATCAATGACCGTCTGTCCCCTTGCTTGTGACACTAGTAAGTAATGCCGGTGTCAGGAAGCTGAGAAGCTACAGGTTGGTTGGACACTGCATCCCTTACAAAACTATACTGTGCAGCGCTCATTTGCACATTAACAGTCATTTGCACAAATGCACAAGTGACTTCCTTAGAGGCGCTGTATAGAAAAACTTCCTGGTAGACGAACATATCAAACTTGTAGATTCAGTAAGCGCTAAACTCAAGATTACTAACTAATGACGCCACTTGCAAGTTGTGGCCTACGCCCCTAACTTCAAAGTTGATCCACAGGCCACCCTGTCCCCTTTCCCAGACCCCTGTGCAGTCAAAAAATCCATGCACCTTCCTGCAATTACCTAAATAGATAGTGTCTATGAATGCACGTGTAAGCTGTGACACATCCGCACAGTCAGTAAACACACACAGAGAACCCCAACTTTTAGTAACTTCCTAAATGGGACCTAGTTCTTACGGACAGCCAAGGATCTCTACGGCTTGGAGTAATGCTCGCACTGAACTAGTGAAATCCACCGGCCATACGCTCTAAGTGGATTTCTGCTTTTTTTTTTCTTTTAAAGCCCAAAACAGCCCTGATAATGTATCGAAAATTGGGGAGAAGGAACGGGCTGCGGAAGGTCACAGGCCAGATAGACAAGGCAGAGGGATCTGGGGTTTGTAATGCCCGACCCCTCTAGGGATCCACTGCACGTGCACCGGGAGAGGGTATGTTTACGTCCACTCCACCGGTCCTCCGAGGCGCCCAGCGCCGCCGGGCGGGAAGCGGTGTCACCCGCCAGCCCCGGGTCCGGGCCCGTGTCCTCTACCTTTAGGAGACCGCAGTCCGTCTAAGAAGCACTAGGGGGCACGTCCATTGAGAGAGTCTCCACATGGAAAAAGCTCTGTCCGAGAGACCTGGAGCAGCGACTGGGCTTCGGTTGCCTTTCTTCGCCTCCTCCTTCTCCGGGTGTTCTCCCCGTGGGGAACCGTCCGTGTCTTGGGGTGGGCCCAGCCGGTCGAGGAACAGAGAGGTGACCGAGTTGGAGGCGGCAAGACTGGATCCGCCGGGCGAGGACACCGGCGCGAAGTGGGGAGCCCAAGTCACTCTCCCGGCAAGTTCAAGAAGTCTCCAGCCAAGTGCTGACACACAGCCTCAAGCAGGGGGAGGAGTGCGGGGCAGGGACGGGAAGGGAAGGCTGGGGCAAGGCTGCTGCTGTCGTCGTCCTCAGGGACCAGCACTGGCGGGGCGCGGGGCCGGCTCCGAGACTCGCCGGGCGAGGGTCGGACGTTCTGCGTTAGCTGGGCCGCGACCCATGGCTTGGGACAGCCATCGTGGGCGACGCCAGGTCCGGGCAAGGGCGCTGTGAAGATCTGGGTGGCGGGCGGGCCGCCACTCCGCATCCCTCAGCCTGACTCTGGCGCACCCCCATCAGCGCTCGCCAGCGGAGCCCGCACGGCTGCGGCGCCCCGGCGTCCTGGGGCTCATTCTCGAGACAGTCTAGCCGCGCGTCCCGGGCTGCCAAACCGAGTGACCTCGCGCTCCGAGCCCTCGGGCCAAGTGTCTTTTGTGGCAGCCTGGGGTCCGCTCACTCTTCCGCCTGCTCGCCTTGGGCGCTCACTCCCTGGTCCGAGTGGCCGGGCATTGAGGGTAAGACTGTGCTCCGGACTCCCGGCTCTTAGCGTCGGTCTGCGACTCCAGCTTCTCCCGGACAGCCGAGTCCACAGCGCCAGGCGCGCACAGTTCAGAGCTCCTATCCGTGTCGTATGGGTCCCTCGAAGCCGCGGGTGATCCTCGCGTCGCTCGCCTCGAGGGCGTCCGGTGGCCGGTGTCGGCTGGGGAGGCTATGTCCCGGGCTGCCAATCCCGGGCGGGCTGTGGGAAGCGCAGCGGCGGGCGCAGTGCGAGCCGGGCTCTGCGCGGCAGGGCGAGGACTCCGGCGGCGACGACGGAGGCGCCGTGGCGCGGCGCTCGCGGCTTTTAAAGGAGACGCCGCCTGCCGGCTCCCTCCCGGCCGTGGCCGAACACCTCCCCCTCGGAGGCGCAGCGCGCCGGGGATCCCCGGGCGGGCGGGAGCAGCGCGCAGGGGTGTGGACGGCGCGCCCTGCGGGGCGGCCGCGGTGGAGCGGGGCGGGGCGAGCGCGCGGCCGCTAAGGGGTCGCGTCCCGGTTGAGTGTGAAGCCGACCCCCAGGACCTGGATCCTCGCCCACAGCTGCCTGAGTCTAGGGCAAATCCAGGGTCCGCTCGCCTCAGAATTCCCCCACTGGGCCAAGATTCAACTTGAGTTTGAAGTTTTTAGGTAAGAGAATATTAAAAGAAGAAAAGAACGTACAAGTCGTCAGACATTTTGGCAAAGATGGGACCAAACGCTTCTGTGTTTTGAATGGTGAGAAGAAAATGTCGAGAAATAGCCGATACACATCTGAGAGCATTATTACATTTTATAAATATTCATACATTTACATGCACCCATGTGCAGATATTTATATGTATATATTCAAATAAATGAATGTAATAAAAACGCATATATTCATTTGTGTAAATTATAAAAATGAAGGTACGGGTTTCTGTACATAGATATACACAGGTAAAGTGGATGTCCCTTCCAGTGGTGTGTATGTGTGTGTGTGTCTGTCTGTCTGTCTGTCCATGTGAGAGGGCAATGGAACTTAATAGAAGTTCTCTTTATAGAAGGAATCACTTCAATACTTGGGCTATTTATGTCCCCTCCCACATCTACCTACCCCAGGTAACAAGACAATTAGGGATTGAGACCTTTGAGTTTTCTGCCTGATCCTCTCCACTAGGTCTCCAGAAGGCTCTGGCTGAGGCCAAGCCACTTTCCTCCCTCAGCTGGAATGTCCCCAAAGCTGCTGAACCAGGATTCTTTTTGAACTCTTTCCACTTCTCCCTACATTTCTGGAGCCTTAGGACAGACCACACCACCTGGCTGCCAACTCGACCCCCAAAGCTATGGACAGAACATTTGATAACATCAGGTCTGAACCAGATCTTTCAAGTTTACAAAGCAAAGACAGAGAAAAACCAGAAGCAGGGGCTTTAATAATCTATTATCCATGTGTATTAGCTTTTCAGTTGGGGAGCTAAAATAACTCTAGGTTCCGCTCACCTAAATCGGATTAGCAACCCACAGAGGGAAATTAGGCCCTGGCTGTTTCTAGAGCTGTAAAGGTCAAATAAGGTATTTTGAAGGAAGGCTGTCTACAAGGAAAACTAAAGAAAAGGAAGGGATAGATTCAGCGATCTGCAATCAGCTACTGTATTCCTTTTTAATACGTGTTGTAGAAGTTGTCACTCTGAATCATGAGACACCAAACAAGAAGGCAATAAAACACTCCACTCAGACATGTAAGTCAAAAGTGCTGATCTCTTCTGAAACCATTTCCTTCCCTATCAAGTTTAATGGAGAAATTAACAATTGCTTCTGTCATCGGGGAGGCTTAAGGAGCAAAGCAAAAATTCCAAACCTATATGAGATTTAAATCAGAAAGTTGCCTTTAATGAGGAAGAGAAAGCTGACAGCTGTTGGACCCACCCCAAGAAAAGATGAAAATGAAACCTTTGGTGACGACATGAACAATGCCTTGCAGCTTTGGGCCTTCTGGAACACCAGAAGAGAGAGCTTGGCCATTTATGATATCCTTAGTAATCAAGGCTCTGAGGTAAAATGGATGCCCCTGGACAGTTACTCCACCTTGGTGGTGCCTGGCAGCTTCTTTTTTGTAGGGCATGCAACCCGAGAGGTACTGCTAAAAGCCTTTCCCAGGAACTTTCCTGAAGTTTGGCCCAATTTCTCTGAAGAGCAGGACTGTTGTTTTTTAGAGATGGCTGCCCTCTTGTGGTGGAAATGAGTGTAAACGCATGGGACCCAGAAGTGGATTCAGTTTGAATGAATTCTCTGTTCTTTGGAATACAAAGTAGATGGTCATGTTCAGTCCAGTATTTTTTTTTTTTAACGAAATAGAAATCATAGAGAAGAAACAAATACAGAGACGTATTGCTTTTTGCACTCTACGCTGATGGCTTCCTTCCACCCACAACTAAGAATGTGTGGTTACTTAGGACTTTGACGGGGTAGTATCTATCTTCTCTGAAAATGTACGGTGCTCCTGGACTTGCTCGATCCTACCATTTACAAAGTTTTTCTCAGTATCTGTCAGTTCAGAAGGTGAGGATTACTTTGAGTTTATCATACTTAGTGTATCTGTCAACAAATATGTAAGGGCTTTCCCGGGAGCAGGCAATATTGGGGCAAGATATTAGTGAGAATTACAAGTCTGATCTTTGTAGAAGGTCCAGACACATTGTATAAGAAACCAGTCTACTGGCTAGGAGTCTACATAAAGGAGGTTGCTGCTCTTCTATTCTAGTCAGTTCTTGCTAGTTTTTCAAGAGATACCGGAAATCCTCATCTGTGTGTGTACATGACCTAGGATGAAATTAAGTACTTACAGAGTCATACTTTGGCAACTTTTCCTTTAGCAGTTCAGCCCAGATAATGTTTAATTTTATTGCATCCTGCAGCTATTAGCATTCAACGTTGTTCCTACTAGGTGAACCATTATGCAAAGTCACATTAAAATAATGATCCCCATGTATTGTAAAGGTCACAGCAGGCGTGACATGATCCATCTACCTTGTAATTGTCATTCCACTGTAACCTGTGGCAACTCCCCTGAGAAACCTCTTAGCCTGTGTATCATTTGCTGCCGATGTGACACCCAATCCTGGCTCTACTCACTCCTGGTTGAGATTCTTTCCTAGGAACCAGAAGACACAGCCAAGAGTGGCATTTGCTCTACCTAGGGTTTACCTATTCAAGGTTGGCTTAGCCACAGTAAGAATGATGGGTGGAGTGATTTGCATGCCAAACTAGGCAGGTTGGCTGAGTCCCATTGTTCTAGACAGCCATCAAAACTTATTTAATTGCCATACAGCAATATACTTGCATATGTGACCAATGATATTAAAATGTTTTGCTATTGTATTAGGTTGGGAAGAGGGAAAAGGGGTAGTTATAATCTCCAAAGATAAAAGAAGTAATGTTTTTAAAAAGGGGTCAGCCTCAGTATTGTTTTTTACAGGGTAGCTATGCCATGGCAGTTCTCGCCCAAAGCTTCTGTATTGTACTCCCCAATATCAGTATTCATAGGCGTAGTTTTGAAGATGTAACTGGATCATGAGGGCCAGTGAATTTATCCATTGACAAATTTCAATTTGGAACACTTTATTGGACAGTGAGATAAGTGTTAGGGAATGGGAACTGGTTGATGGAAGTAGTTACTGGAAATAGGCTTTCAAAGATCCTGCCTGTTGCTTCCAGGGGTCCTGCCTGTCACTTCCTGGTTTTTATCCTGTTGCCTCTTCCTGGTTTTCTTCCTGTTTCCCTGTCCTGGGTTCCTTCCTTTTGCTCTCCTTGCTTCCTGGCCACCATAAAGTAAGAGGCCTTCTCTTCCATGTGTCTCTCCACCATGGTCTTCCTCACTTCAGGTCCAAAGAAAATGGAGTCATCAACCATAGACTGAAGTTCCTGAAAACATGACACAAAATAAATATTTCCTCTTTTCAAACTGTTTTAAGGATTTGTTTCTGAATTAAAAGCAAAAGCAATAACAACAACAAAAGCAAGCTGGCTAATATTACCCAGTCTACAAATCTTTCCTGAGGATCTGTGAACCTCGCAACAGCATGTTACCTGAATCCAGTGCATAAAAGACACATAGACTCTGCAGACCATTTATTTAGGAGCCAGTGGAAGAAGTATGATATGTTCAGAGTAAAGAAATATAAATCATAAGACGTATGACAAGAACACTTTAGGAGAGCCAACAGTTGCTGAGAGACTAATGGCAAGCAATGTGGACTTAGCAAGCTCATAGCAAAGACTGGATTATGGATTGGATGTGAGCTGTCCCCTGAAGGCTCACACTTGAATGCCTGGTCCCCATCTGGTGGTGCCATTCCAGGAGGTGGTGTTATAGAAACCTAAGAGGGAGAGCCTTGAGAGAGCAAGTAGGTCACTAGGGCAGTGGGCCTTAAGCTTTTACTTCCAGATTCTCAAATAATCTGTGCTCTTTGCTCTGTTCAGATGTGCTCCCACCTTTTTTTTAGTTCTCTGCCAACACATCTTCTACACTAAGACAGACTGTTTGCCTTCTATTGTGAGACCCTTAAGTTGATTCTTGTCAGGTTTTTCATCCCAGAAATAAGTACCAGTGACAGCAATGTTTTGGGGGAATATTCAGGTGAATACAACGGCTGGAGACTGGGGAGTGAGGTTCAGTAGGTGATCACATAAACAGGACCAGCAGCAAAAATTTCATCAGAACTACTAACTGTTAAATTTTAGGTACAATTTTCCTTGTGTTATTTAATTCATTTTTTTTTTACAAAAAATTTTTTCATGGGTGTTATTAACTATATTTTATAGATGAGGAAGCTGCTTAGAGAGTGAACATCTTCCCCACTGTCTCACATCTAGCAAGCAGCTAAAATCTGTTTTTGTAGTCATAATGTTAATAGTTGTAGCCAGCTGGAGTCAACACATCAGGTGAGTGAACACAGAATGATGTACATGACAGTTCCAGTCTAGAGATGATATTGGAATAGGAATCAATCAATATTAGAAAGTACATTATCCTCAGGGAAAACACCAACGATTCATTCTAGAGGGGAAGTTGGAACCAGTTTAACAATGGAAGAGTGTGTATAGTTGCAGGCAGTGTGAAGGGAACTAGTACATGACAGTAAAGTCCCTTGGCTCTGCAGGATCACTGGACGGGCAATGACAGCTGAAGGACAATCATTGGCAGAAGTGGAGGAGAGCTGTAGGCAGAATGAACAAGTCAGCCTGTCCCTCCCTTTCTGCTCAGTATTTGTGGCTATCTCCCATTGATATAATTCAACCACAAGGGCAGGCATATTAGGCATCTACTGCTGTGTAACAAAAGATCATAATCTTACTGGCTTAATGCCCACTTATTAGTTCACAGTTTCTGTAG